TCTGCCATCACTCTGAAGAAGTATTCACATCCCTCAGACAAGCCAGTGACTTTATATGTGCACTTATGACACTTAGTGGTAACTGTAGAATAAGATTTCCTTGTTGCTTCACGTTTCTCCACAATATAATTTGTTATGCGTGAGCCCCCATCTATCAGAGGCAGGTCCCAGTGCAGCGTGACACTGTCCTTTGTGATGTCTGTAGGCCTCAGGTTAAGGACAGGACCTGGTGTATCCAAGACTCTGACGTTAACAAAGCCACTTTTCTTCCCAGCGGGGTTTTCAATGGTCATCACAAATTTACCAGTGTCATATCTGTTACATTCTGGGATGATCAGAAGAGTGAATGATTCTGTGTTTTCAATGTTGGCCCGGTTCTTTAGGTTGATGTCATCTTTGGTCCATGTCACTTCAGGAGCAGGACGACCTTTAATTGGCACAAAAATTCTAATACTGAGTCCTGCTCTGACCACAAGTGTTCTTCGAAGCTCAGCATCTAGTTCGAAATCAGGAGCCATTTCCCGCTCTACAATTTCAACATCTGGAATCACTGCTGGCTCCCCAACACCGGCATCATTGACGGCACTGATTCTAAAATTATATTTTTCTTTAGTCTGAAGGTCAGGGACAACAAACTGAGTGATTCTGAGGGCAGTTCCAGTTGTGTCTTTTATCCAAGCCTCATCTCCTACTTTTTGATGCTCTACCACATAACCAGTGATTTCTAGTCCACCGTCATAATGAGGCTTGCCCCATGCTAAAGAAGCAGATTTCTTGGTAGTATCAGTGACATGTGCATTTGAAGGAGGTCCTGGAGGATCTGAAAAAAAAAAAACAAAGATAAAAAGTGTATGTTAAGACTTTGGCTTTTGGATAATTTATATAAAGTACTGGAACTCCCCAATGAGCAGGGTGGAGAAAGGTAAATACTAACATGCTACATCCTTCATTAGAACAGGATTTGAAGCATCACTAGGTGGACCAATTCCTGCTCTGTTTTCTGCACTGACGCGGAATTCATAGGTGTTTCCTTCTTGCAGTCCTGTCACTTTGCATCTGAGATCGGAAACTGGCGTCTTTGTGGCTCTCACCCACCGCAAGCCTTTCTTTTCTCTCCTTTCTACATGATATCCTGTGATCTCACTGCCACCATCATCAGTTGGTCTTTTCCAGCTGACAGTGGCAGTGTTCTTAGTGACATTTGATATCTCTGGCTTTCCAGGAGGGCCAGGAGGACCTAAAAAGGAAACAAATTTGTGAGAAATCCATGATTTCCTAAAATCTGCTATAAATGTTCTTGTCGATTCTTTTTCTGTGCTCTACGTACCAAATCTGTCTACCATTTTGACAGGTTCGGACTGTACAGGTTCTCCTTTGCCATAATGGTTTACAGCTGAGACACGGAAAAGGTACTCATTTCCTTGGATAAGCTTGGTTACCACATGCCTGCAAGTCTGAATATCTTCAGAAACCACTGTCCACAAAAGCCGGCTGGTTTCTCTCTTTTCAAGAACATAGGACTTAATTGGTGATCCGCCATCTTCTAAAGGAGGTGTCCATGTAAGTGTTGCTTTTTCAGCAGAAACGTTACTGATTTCAATAGGACCTGGGGGACCAGGCACATCAAGGACTGTTACCTTCACATGCTCCTCCTTTGTGCCGAAAGGATTGGTAGCAGTGATCGTATATTCACCAGCATCTTTTCTAGTGGCATATTTGACAGAAAGTGTGGAAGATGTTGGGGTTGAAGTTATCTGAGCAATATCTGATGGTCTAATGTCTTTTCCTGCCCTGGACCAACTTGATTTTGGAAGGGGTTTGCCAAGAATGCTAATGGCACTCAAAACAATGGTATCCCCTGCTTTAATTGTAAGCCCATCTTTTATTGTGGGATCAAGGACAATGGTTGGTGCCTCTGCAAAGGAAAAAAAAAAAAAAAAACATTTGCAATCAGAAAAGGAAGGAGGTTTAGTGCTATTTTTAAAATAAAGTAAAAAGTAAAATTGACCTACCATATTCATCCTTGCAAATAATAGTTTCTGTGCTTTCCGATGGAGCGCTAATGGCACCTGCTGTATTCTTTGCTCTAATTCTGAATTCATATTTTCCACCCTCAACTAGGTCAGTTACAGTAAAGGCACAGTCTGGAACATTAATGTGGTTGGCTTTCATCCAAGACTTAGAAGGTAGATCCCGCTTCTCCACTATATATCCAGTTAACTTATGACCACCATCATATTTGGGTTCAGTCCATATGAGAGTCACTGAATTCCTTGTTACATTAATAACCTCAGGTTTGCCAGGAGGATCTAAAACAAAAAATAAAGCCAGTCAAATGAATATCAACATTTGCTTCAGGTAGCAAATGCCCTTAGGTTTTTCTTTGTATAATGACTTACCAATTGGATCAAGTGCTACAACTGGCTCTGATGGCAGGCTTGGCTTGCCCACTCCTGCTAAATTGATTGCCATAACTCTGAATTCATATTCAAGACCTTCAGTTAATCCTGTCACTTTAAAGTCCTTCATCCTTATAGGAGTCTTGTTAGCTCTCTTCCACAAAAGGCTGTTTCTTTCCTTGAACTCAATATGATACCCTGCAAATAACCCATGGATGTATCAATTCGGATAGCAAGTATAAATATAAGTGTATTTAAAAAATTTACATGTATTTTTATCAAAATTGTTTATATAGGATATATTAAATAGATGATCATTTTTGCCATCTATATTCTTATTACCCAGGCATAGTGCCATTTCTTTTCTTGGAATAGCATTGTTATTGTCCTGTTCAACAGTTTTAACCCATATTACATATCACAAAGAAAGACCTTATTAACTGTTATATTAGGAGGTTTTCAATGAAATTAAACATTAGCCACATATGCTGAAAGAAAAATACATTATTGTATATGTACTTTATGCTGTGAATGAGCACACAGTCATCTAGTTTTCATGGAAATATTTGGAAGGAACATTGGTAGAAAACCTGTGGGATAAGAGCAAATTAAATACCTGTAATCGGAGATCCACCTGTTTTTCTGGGGTCTGTCCAAGTTAGAGAGACTGAATCATGTCTAACATCCACAATATTGGGAGGTGGGGGAGCATCAGGCACATCTAGAAGAAAGTACATAGTACAAGATTTATAAACAGGGAACCTCCACAAAACCATGTGTTGCTTTGTTTTTAGCCTTGAGGCACTTACCAAATGGATGTTTAGCCACTATTGGCTCTGACTTCAGGCCTTCTCCTACACCATATTTATTTTCAGCACTGACCCTGAAGGTATATTCCATACCCTCATGAAGTCTGGTTACTCTGAAGGTGGTTTTCTGGACAGCTGAGGCACATGTCACCCACTTGTTGTTTACAGAATCTCTCTTCTCCAGGATATAGTTGGTGATTTCAGAACCTCCATCATCCTTTGGAGGACCCCACTTTAAGGTCATGGCTTCTGCTGTGACTTCATCAAATTTGATTGGTCCAGTAGGGATGCCAGGCTTGCCAACAACTTTTATGGAAAGGGTTCCTTCCTTTGTGCCAGCAACATTCTTGAGTGTGATTGTGTATTTTCCAGCATCAGATTTTTGGCAGTCATACACTACAAGAGTTGTGTTAACTGCAGATGACTCAACACTGACTCTTGTGTCAATTGCCAGAGGATCTTCCCCTTTCTTCCAGGATACTGATGGTGCTGGCTTGCCCTTTATGGGAATCTTAAGACGGAAGTTGCTGTTTTCTTTAGCCAAGTAGCACAGATCAGGTAGGTCCTTTAAGTCAAGATCAGGAGCCACTATAATACAGCAGAGATGAATTGTTATCATTTTTGAGACCAGGCAATTAACTCTTTCAGATCATATGGATTTTAAAGGATTTGCTTGATAGGCTAGTGGTTAGGGCTCAAGGACACACTTTTGATGATAGTAAAGAGAAAATGAAGATGTAGAGGGAGAAGCTTACCGACATCGTCCTTTGCCACGACAGTGATTTCACTGGGGGTTCCTTCTCCATTTTCATTTTCAGCACTCACTCTGAAGGTATATTCCTTCCCTTCAGTCAGATCTTTTGTGGAGTACTGCAGGCTTAATGATTTCATAACACGTTGCCACTTATTTTCTTCCGTCAGGAAATCAACTACATATCCAGTAATTCGACTTCCACCATCAGTACGAGGCTTTTTCCAGCCAATGGTACAAGATGACTTGGTGACAGACAATGCTTTCAGGTCCACAACTGGTCCAGGGGTTTCTAAAGCAAAAGAGAAATGATGAGGCTAAGCCCCAAATAACCACGGTTGGATGTCACTTAACTGTATGGAGCTGTAGTTCATTTGCTCACCAGAAGCTTTCACGGCGTCTCGTGTTTCACCGGGATCACCGATGCCATACTCATTTTCAGCAAACACCCTGAAGAAGTAGGACTTTCCTTCCTCCAAGTTGGATACTCTGAAGCTTGTTTTTGAGCACTCAGTTGTCACCGTGGACCAGGACTTCCTTTCTGCATCACGTTTTTCTACCACATAGTTTATGATGGGACTTCCACCATCGATAATGGGAGGATCCCAGGTAACATAAGCAGAGTCTTTGGATACTTCCTTAACAGTCACATTGACAGGTGGCCCAGGGGTATCTGGATAAGTAATGGGTAAGTAAGAAATGAATATATAAAAGATACAGAAGCCATAGTTTTAAACATATGATTCTTTTTTTTTTCCAAATTGACTTACCAAGCACTTTCACTACAATGGTATATTCCTTTTTACCACAGATGTTCTCTAGAGTTAGGATGTATTTTCCAGCATCATATTTGTTTACGTTTTCACAGCGTAAGAAAGTGTCAAAGTCAGTTGACTTTATGTCCAGTCCAATCCTTTCCCTTAGGTTGACATTGGGCTTCGACCAAGTAATCTTTGGAGGTGGACGTCCTCTTACTGGTACATAGAGTCTCATTGTAACTCCAGCACGTAATATGAGTGTCTTCCTTAATTCAGCATCAAGTTCTCCCTCAGGTGGAACTATTTAATTTGGGGGTGGAGAAAGGTTTGGTGAAAAAAAAAAATTAATGCTCAAATGATTTCCATGGACTGACCTTATCACTTATAAATTTCTAAAATTATTTATTACTTTTGAACATCCTTAATGTCATCTTCATAGCTATTTCAATATTTTGTACCCATTGTTGGCCCTTCCATTTTCCAATATGTTTTAGCCTCAACAAAAATTTCCTTGGGGGACCTATATTTCCTCTTTTCTTGAACCCTCAAACTCTACGTATATTAAAGAAAGTAGGTGGCTGGTCATTGGCTCTATTCCATTTTTGGTTTTTCTTGTATTCAGTGAGGGTACTCTGCCAAATACCCTGATTCCTTTTATTATTTCAATGTATGAAGAAAAGTGGATGAAATATGATACCAGGTAACTAAAAGGGGATTGTTACAGAGAATAACTAGGAAGAACAAGGGGCAGGGAATTTAAGATGGATAGTCTGCCAGTAATATTCTTAGAGAGAGGTTGGATTAGAAGAGTAAATGAAAACCATGAGAATGATAATAGTTCACTAAGTTAAAAAAATCCTCTTTATTCTCAGAATAAAATTCCATATTCCTTCGAAGGCATGACATTTTCTTGTGTATACAAAAAAACCTTTCAGAACCACAAATCACCTTGCATTTCCTTTGGCCTGTTCTATGCTACCTTGAAGTACCCACCCAGCTCTCCTAAAATGTACTTCTGGAATTACCAAAGTTAAAACTTATAAATATATAACAGTTCTAGTCTCCCTCCTAGAATACGGTTAATAAGAAAAGCCCTATGTATTTCTCCTGGTCATACTTACTTAAGATGTCCTTGGGGCAGTGTTTATCTGGCACATCACTGGGGTCACTGAATCCAATCTTGTTAACAGCATACACACGGAACTGATATTCCGTGTTTTCCATCAGGCCAGTAACCTCAAAGCGTGTTTTCTGTAGTTTCTCTGGTAAATTGCACCTCACCCAGTTATCAGAGTCAGCTCGTTTGACTTCAACGAGATAACCGATGATAGGGCTACCACCATCATAGGCTGGCTTGCCCCAGGAGAGACTCACGGAGCTCCGGGTTGTATCATATACTTTAGGGAAAGCTGGTGGGCCAGGTGGATCTGCGGAAAACACAAAAATAGAAAACTTTAGTAAAACTTTCCTTCCCAGTTGTTTAATGCTGATTAGAACACACATATGGAACTCCCATGTAGACTTACACAGAGGATCCTGAGCATAAACAGCTTTGGATGCATCACTGGGTTTGCCTGGTCCAGCTTTATTTATAGCTGTAACTCGGAACTCATATTCGGTACCTTCTTGAAGACCCGTTGCTTTTATTGTTCTTTCAATGACAGGTTTTCTGTTGACCTTTGTCCAGTTAACTGCCTGAGTTTCTCGCTTTTCAACCAAGTAGCCAGTGATGGGTGAACCGCCATCATCTGCTGGTGGTTTCCAGCTGACTGTCATATGATCTTTGGTAATGTTGCTGATGACAGGAGGATCACAGCGTCCAGGTGGGTCTGCAGGGATTGATTTGAAAAGTTAATTTCTCAGGCTTAACAGGTAATTTTTAAAAAGGAAAAGGAAAAACTACAGGAAAACATTCTTACCATATGGGTTTTTAGCAATTGCTGGCTCAGTGAAGATTGGATCACCCACTCCGTATTTATTTTCCGCGCAGATGCGGAACTGATACTCATGGCCCTCTATAAGTTTCTCCACGCTGCAGCTGGTGATGGGCACAGTGGCAGAGACTTGAGCCCAGTTGGGCCTGCTGGTTTCACGTTTGTCAACAATATAGTTGGTGATTTCTGAGCCTCCGTCTTCAAGAGGAGGTTCCCAAGAAAGCATTGCACGATCTGAATACATTTTGTTGATTTTAACAGATGCTGGAGGACCAGGCTTATCTAAAAAAAAAAAAAAAAAAAAGGAATGAAAGTGAAGTTTTTCTACTTCCATATAGATTAGAAGTCTGAAGACCTGAGCTGTGGTCTTTATGTCATTAACTTCCTCTGTGACCTTAAAGTTGCTTAATTTTCTAGAATCTGTTTCCACATATGTAAAATTAGGTACCTGGAACATATGGTTTCTAATATTCTTCTCAGCTCTAAAACACTATTCTGAGATAAGATTAATTCTGTGCTTAGGAAATACATAGTAGGATATATAATTTTCTCACATATTACTTTGTAAATCTTATTGCATCTTGTTAACCAAAGCTAAGTGCAGGATTCTAATTAAATGCTTTAGTTACCTAATACTTTAAGCTTAATGGTAGCTGATTTGGAACCGCTTGAATTTTCAGCAGTGATGGTGTAGTCTCCCGAGTCCTTCCGGTTCACACTGAATAGCTCCAAGGTGCACAGGTTCCGCTTCATGGCCATCTTTATGCCTTCTGCTGGTTTTAGTGGTGTGCCATCTTTCTTCCAAGAAACTGTTGGCATTGGTTTACCAAAAACAGTAGCATCCAAGCAAACATTGGTTCCTGCTTTCACAGTAAGCAAAGATTTCATCTCCACACTCAGGTCTATCCTGGGAGGAACTGGAAAGAAATGAGATGAAAAGGAGTTCATGTATGTGAAAATACATAGTTTAATTCTTAATAATAATATTAAAAATTCATATGTTCTCTTTTAAGAATAGGATTTTTATTTATTTTAATAGGCTAATAATTGCATACATTTATGAGATACAATGTGATGTTCTGGTATATGTATGCACTGTGGAATAATTAAGTCAAGCTAGTTAGTGCATCTATCACCTCACTGACTAAGCATTTATCTGTGGTGAGAACACTTAGAATTTACTCTTTTAACAATTTTGAGATGTACATTATTAATTATGGTCACTGTACAATAGATCACTAAAATTTATTCCTCTCTAATTGAAACTTTGAACCCTCTGACATCTCCCCTTTTCCCTACCTCCCTAATCCCCAGCTCTGGTAACCACCAAGAATATGATTTTTTAAAATAATGTATATATTATTTTTTAAAATAATTTCTATACCAAGAAATCTTACAGTGTTGGAAATATAAAAAGTAAGTTCCCATAATGTCATTTAAATGCATTTCTTTGCCGTCTTTCTGTGAATGTTTACTTTTGAAATTATTTAGTCCTGAATGCAGTATCCTGCTTTCTAGTTTAGCATGTTAACATTCTCTATAATCATACTTTTTAGTATTATATAGAAATATCTATTGTTTTCTTTTTCTTTTTTATGTGTGTGTAAACTTAGTATTTTATCAGAAGAAATGAATATCATGAATGTTGTGCATCTTTGCCTATAATATACAATGGAATCTTACCATTCTCTGCAAGGATAGTCACTGGGTCTGAGGGTTCAGAAGGCTGGCTAATGTTTACTGCAGTCCTGGCAATTGCTCTAAATTGGTACTGAGCATTCTCTTCTAAGCCAGTAGCTGTGTACTCTTCCTGGGGAATCTGGTGAGGTGTAGTATTGCACCGGACCCACTTATCACCAGGAAGTTTGCAAGCTTCTACGAAATAGCCAATGATTTTGCTGCCTCCATCATGCTTGGGGCGGGCCCAAATGAGGGATGCACTATTTTTGGTAACATCGATAACTTCAGGTTTCCCAGGAGGATCTAAAACCAAAAGAGATCGTCTCAGCATATATCTTCTTTGCAGAAGTTTAAACTCATAGCCACAGAGGTGATAATGTGAACTAAGTAACAAACTCAACAGGATGACAGTCATCCCATTTTAATAATCCCCCACACGGGAAGCTCTTGAGTCTGTGCTATATGCTTCAAAGAGAGTTATATATAGTAGACTTCCATGGTAAGAGATGGGGCAGTGGGAGGGAGGCTATTCTAGAAAATTAGTAATCTTCAGAGGCCCCAAGATTTAAATGTGCCTCTACAATATTGAAAAAAATACTCACCCACTGGCATTCTCGCCGTTACGTATTCTGTTGGTTTGCTGGGTGGGCTGGAACCAGCTTTGTTTAGGGCATAGATTCTGAATGAATACTCAAGACCTTCCACAAGGCCAGCACAAGGATATTCGGTTGACCTGACAAGAGTATCATTAGCTTTCACCCACAGCAAGCTGTTTCTTTCTTTTCGTTCAATCAGGTAACCAGTGATGGGGCTCCCTCCATCGCTGTCTGGCCTGTCCCACGCAACAAATATGCAGTCTTTGTTCACTTTAGTGACTCGTGCATTCTTTGGTTCGCTAGGAACACCTGGAGATGAAGACAAGGAAAATGCCCGTTTCTGTTTTAAGTAACAGATTGGAAAGAAAACAATTATTTTTTTTCTCTCTGAAAAAAATACATACCAAATGGGAACTTAGCAAGCATCTTTGGAGATGTGAGAGGCTCTGAAATACCAAATCGATTCTCAGCACGGACCCGGAAGATATACTCCTGGCCTGGGATCAGTTTTCCAACCCTGCAGGAGGTTTTTGTGACTGAAGCTAGAGCTGTGACCCAGTCCCCGCGGCTAACATCACATTTCTCCACTATGTAATTGGTGATGTTACTGCCTCCATCTTCTAGAGGGATGTGCCAGGACAGGGAGCAGGCATCCGCATCTATGTCCGAAATGTCAAATGGAGGCTGAGGGGGTCCAGGTGCATCTGTGTGAACCAAGAAGAAGAAAGTGTAAGAATAGGATTTGGTAGGAAAGAATGTTTCTGGTCTTCACATTTCAGTGGCCATTTGGCTCATACTTAACCTACCCATGACTATAACTTTGACTTTCTGAGTGTCTGTCCCAGAGCTGTTCTCTGCTGTCAGGCTATAGTACCCACTGTCTTTCCTAGTAACATCTTTTATGATCAGAATTGAAGAGCTGTCTGCTTTGTGCACTGCCAGGTGGCTGGATGTGACAACTTCATCTTCTCCTTTCTTCCATGTACAGGTGGGATGAGGCTTTCCATACACATGGGCTTCTACTCGGAGTTTCTTCCCAGCTTTAATAGTAATTTGCTCTGGCATAAGGACCTTTGGTGGTACTAAAAAACAAAAAACAAAAATACATTAATTTTGGAGGGATCACGTTTTCTTTGGTGGGGAGCTCTGCCAACGTTTTTCAAATTGTGTGTTGCAACCCCTAGTGGGTTCAAATCAATGTTTGAATTAGAGCCAAAATTTTCCAAAGGAATGAAATAGAATATAATAGAAAATAACAGATGTAGCATATTTAAGGAAAGGTATTGTTTCAAGAAACTTCTTTTATATATATGGGTGCATGTATGTTCTGTGTCATGATTTAAAATTCATTTACTACATGTTACCACTGTTTTCCAAGTATTTCTGGAACCAGATTCTTCAAAGAGAAAAGTCTACATAGCCAAAGAAAATACTAGTGAACTACCGGATGATATTAATGAAACAATGACTACTTACACAGTTGTTCTTTGGCTTCGTATACTCCTTCGGCTTCTCTTGGCAAGCTGACTCCAACAGCATTTCTGGCCACTACTCTAAATTTATATTTCTTTCCTTCCTTTAAGCCATTGACAACGAGGCTGAGATCTTTTACAACAGAATACTCGGTCCAGCGATCTGCAGGCTGTTCTTCTTCTCTGTAACTGATGATGTAGCCGTCAATTTTAGCGCCTCCATCACGCAGAGGAGGTAACCAGGCTAACGTAGCACTATTCTTCGTCATTTCAGTCACTTCTAGTTTTCTTGGGGGATCTGGCTCACCTAGAAGAAAAACATGATTTAGAAAATTATCTAGGCAACCAAATCAAATCTCCTTTGTTCATGTACATAGTAGTTTTAATATGTCATTGGCCTCAAAGTGTATGAAACCTGTAGTTCAGCATGTTGAAAGTAAAAAAGTACAAGATGAGGCAGGTTACAGAAGTCTTTCCTGGGTGGGTTAGATATTTACTATGCTATTAGAATTTCCATAAATTAAATCCCTTTCAGTAGTAGGTTAAAATTATATTGGTATCTTGCTAAAATAGGGGTCTGGGGTAAGGAGGAGGAAGGAAGGAGCTTACTTACTTAGAGGATCTGATGCTAGCACTGGTTTGGGGACGTCTGTTGGGACGCCAGGGCCATACTCATTGACAGCAGTTACTCTGAAGAAATACTCATTCCCAGGGACAAGATTGGTTACGTTGAAGCTTGTTTTCTTAACTTCTGGGGTAACAGTTGACCACGTCTTTCTCTCTGCCTCACGTTTCTCCACAATATAATGAGTCACTTGGCTCCCACCATCATTTTCAGGAGGGGCCCAGGACACATGGCATGATGTTTTAGTGACATCTGAAACTTTTAAATCGGATACGGGTCCAGGAGTATCTGTAAAGAACCAGAGAATCAGACATCCATGTCTCATCAGAGTCCTTACTAATTTGTTTTTGAAGAGGGAAGAAGAAGTTTCTTAGCAACCTACCCAGTACTCTGACATTTACAAACACAGCTTTTTCTCCTGCGGGGTTCACAAGTGTTAAGGAATATTTTCCAGAGTCATCACGGGTAGAATTGGGGATGACAAGGAAGGCCATGGTGTCAACCAGATCAACTTGTCCTTTTCTGACCACATTATCAATACCCACTTTTCGCCAAGTGACTTTGGGAGCTGGTCGCCCTCTTACTATTGCAAATAGCCGAATAGGGCATCCTGCTCTCACTATGACCAGTTTTCTCATGCTGGCATCCAAATCAATCTCCGGAGGTTCTGCAAATGACATTAAGATTATTAGTTGGCTTTTCTGAATGTGGGAAAATCATGAGAAATGAAGTGAGAGTGAGTCCAGTGCCACTGGAGAGCCTTACCTAGGATTTCTTTAGGTTTGATAGCCTCCTTTAGTTCTGCAGGGCGCCCAATGCCAACCTGGTTTTGGGCACACACCCTGAACTCATACTCCTGGTTTTCATCCAAGCTGGTAACAGTAAATTCCATGCGAACAAGCTGTGCTGCAGCATTGCACCTTTTCCAGCCTTCGTCAGGTGACATATCTGGTTTTTTGGGTCTCATTTCCACAACATATCCAATAATTGGTGCACCACCATCATAGACTGGTTTCCCCCATCCAAGTGTTATGGAACTTTTGGTAGTATCAACTACTTTGAGATTGGTTGGTGGACCAGGTGGTTCTGAAAATAAATTATATAAAAATGTAGACATGGTTAACTGCAAGTAGTGATCTTCTAATGTGGAGTTTTATATAGTCAATCCTCAATTAATCAGAAATAGTTCATTCACTTTCTCAATTACTGAGTCCTCCTTATTTTCCTTTTCAAAAATTAAAGCCAGGTGCTATGGCACATGCCTGTAATCCCAGGGGCTCAGGAGGCTGAGGCAGGAGGAACCCGAGTTCCAAGCCAGCCTCAGCAAAAGCAAGGTGCTAAGCAACTCAGTGAGACCCTGTCTCTAAATAAAATACAAAGTAGGGCTGGGGATGTGCCTCAGTGGTTGAGTGCCCCTGAGTTCAATCTTCAGTACCCGCCCCTCCAAATTAGAATCTACCATTGTTTTTTTGGTGATTTGCTAAAATGCCTATTTGGGAAAATATTGGCTAAAACAAACTTTTGATATTATGGATTAACTCCTTTATCTAATACCTCTGTGCTTGAGATTAAGAATTGATATAATATCAGAAAAAAACAAGAACATCTTACCTATGGGGTCTTTTGCCACCACCGGTCTTGATGGTAAGCTTGGTTCTCCAATTCCAACTTCATTTTCTGCCTTGACACGGAACTGATATTCATGTCCTGGGAGGAGATTCTGTACTTTCAGACGTCTCTCAGGGATTGCACTTTTGTTAACAGGGACCCATCGCACTCCGTGTTTTTCCTTTTTCTCCAAATAGTATCCTGTGATAGACTTTCCACCATCATATTCAGGTGGGTTCCAAACCACAGTCATTTCTTCTTTGCTTACTTTAGTGACCTCTGGGGGATCAGGGCGACCAGGTCTATCATACTTGGTTTTTGCTATGACTGGTTTACTTTCTGTTGGAGGCCCTGTGCCTATTTTATTTTCTGCACGGACTCTGAAAATATATTCATTTCCTTCTATGAGACGTGTTACTGTAGCACTGGGAATCAAGACATTAGAAGAATAGGTGGACCAAACCATTCGCTTGCTCTCACATTTTTCTAGAATATAATTTTGGATTTCACAGCCACCATCATCTTCTGGTGGATCCCATCGAACAGTGCACCTATCACTGGACACATCAGTAATCTTCAGATTCCTTACAGGACCAGGCTTATCTAAAACATTGACAGTGGCATAGGCCACAAAACTGCCAGCTGTGTTAGTTGCTGTAACTACATATTTACCACCATCACTTCGCTTGGCTTTAGTAAGGGAGAATTTAGATGACTCAGCACTGGTGTCAATCTTGACCCTTGGTGATCTTGTCAAATCTGTAGCATCTTTGTCCTTGGTCCATGCAACTTCTGGAAATGGTTTCCCTCTAACTGCAGCCTCAAGTCTAATGGTGTCCCCTGCTTTGACAGTTAGCACCCCACTTAATTTCAGATCAAGTACTGGTTTCTGTAAGTCTTCCTTCACAACAACTTCCTCTGTCTTTACCCAATCACTTTCCCCACCCTCATTCTTTGTCTGTACTCTAAACTCATAAATTTGGTTTTCAACACATTTGTCAACCATGTAGTGGGTTTCTTTAATGCTTCCTTTATGTACTCTTTCCCAGTCAGTAGAACCCTTCAGCCTTCTCTCAACATGATACGATAGATTTGGGCTGCCACCATCATAATCAGGCCGCCGCCACTTTAGATAGACAAATGTCTTTCCTTTATCTGCAATATGAAGGTTTTCAGGCTCACCTGGCCTGTCAATAGGGTTAATGGCCAGAATTGGAGTTTTTGTTTCAATGGTTGGCCCAACCCCTACTTTATTCTCTGCACAAACTCGGAAATAGTATTCATTATTGGCTAAAAGGTTAGCCTTGATTGATCTCTTGGTGACATCTGAAGCAACAATCGACCAGCCTTTCTGATTTGGTTTCCGATATTCTACTATGAAATTGGTTATTTCGGAGCCACCATTATCTAGTGGATTTTCCCAAGAAATTGTGCAGTTCTCTTTCGTTACATTGGTAACCCTCAAGTTCTGGCAAGGCCCAGGTCTGTCAAGGACGTTAACAATGGCTGAGCCTTGGGCATGTCCACTGCTGTTCTTGGCTGAGATGATATACTTGCCGTGATCAGCCCTGACAGCTTCTTTAATTTGTAACTCAACACGGGGTAGATCACGAATTATGTCAACCCGCTTTTCTCGGACCAACACTTTGCCTTCCTTAGACCAAGTTATGTCAGGTTCAGGTCTGCCTTTGACTCGAGCAAGAATGTGGATAGTCTGGCCCACTCTGACGGTAATAACGTCACGACAAGTAACATCAAGCTCGACTTCTGGAGGATGGAGGATGTCTTTTGCAAGCACAGATTCTGCTAGTTCTCTTGGTTCTCCCTCTCCCACAATGTTAGCTGCCTTTATACGGAATCTGTACTCATTTCCTTCAATTAGTCCAGGTACCCTGAAAGCACATTGCCTAATGAGTTCATCCTTATTAATCCTGCTCCACTGTGCCGCGCCAGGTTTCTGACATTCCACCACGTATCCTAGAATGGGGCTTCCACCATCACTGAGGGGCTTTGTCCACACCAAGTCAGCCCATTCTTTGCTCTTGTCTTTCAATTTAGGATTAATAGGTGGCCCAGGGGGTTTAATGGGCCGGCAAGCTTTTATCGGGTCAGAACTTGGGGATGGATTGCTCAGTCCTGCAAGATTTTCAGCAAACACTCTAAACTCATATGTGTTTCCCTCATAGAGTCCAGTCACCCTGAACTTCAGGTCAGCTATCGGTGTTTTGTTGACCCTCACCCACTTTCCAGTTATTTCTCGACGTTCCACGTAGTAACCAGTTATTGGACTGCCACCATCAGATTTTGGCAGGGTCCAAGACACAGTTGCAGCATTTTCTGTAATGTCGGTAACCACTGGTTTACCAGGAGGAGATGGAGGATTGAACTTGTGTTTAGCAACAGTAGGTGTGGAGTCAAGGGGAGGACCAACACCCATCTTATTCTCTGCTTTAACTCGGAAAATGTATTCACAGCCCTTCTGCAGATGTGGGACTTTCAGCTTCAGCTTACTGCTTCCTGAAGACACAACACCCCATGTGTCTTTCCTTGTATCTTGTTTCTCAACGATATAATTTATCACAGGGCTTCCTCCATCATCTTTAGGTGGCTGCCAGGAGATAGTCATGTATTCGGGGGTAACATCCAGAATATGGATAGGGCCTGTTGGTGGTCCAGGAACATCAAGAACAGTAAGATGTACAGCTACCGTTTTGGTGCCAGCTGCATTGGAAACTGTGATTTGATATTCCCCAGTGTCTTTCCTTAAGCAGTTCTTGATGGTAAGTACTGATGAGAAGTCGTCAGTTTCAACTGTGTAGTGGTCATCTGTTTTAATCTCACTCCCATCGGTTGTCCACTTTACAGAAGGAACAGGTACACCTCTTATGATAGCAGGGAATCTGACTGTAGTTCCAGCTTTTACCACAAGCCCTTCAATTAATTTCACATCTAGCTCTATAGATGGAGGCACTGGAAAATAAACATGAGGAAATTAGATTTCAATTCTTGCACTATAAAGGATTTAAAGAAGAAAATAAAATAATAATGCCAATCCAAAAATCACCTAGTTTTTCTTGGCATTCTATCGGGATAGTTGTATCAGGGAGCCCGAGACCCACAATATTTTCAGCTTTTACACGGAATCTGTAGGTCTTTCCTTGTTGTAGTCCAGTAACAACGCACTCCAAGTTTTTCACAGTCTTGAACTTAATCCAGTCCTCAGCACCTTCTTCTTGATATTCCACCAAGTATCCAGTGATTGGAGAGCCCCCATCACGATCTGGTTTATTCCACACAAGGGAGACTTCAGTCTTGTCAACATCCACATGATGTAGGTCCTTGGGTGGCCCTGGGGGATCTTTAAAAAAAAAAGAAGAAGAAGTCATGATGAATAAGTAGTTTTCCCAGAGACAGTTAAATGATACTTTGTATCCAGAGAAAGCAACTCACGGAGAGGATCCACAGCCTTGATGGGTTTAGGCGTCTCAACAAAAGGACCACGTCCATATTGGTTCTCAGCAGCTACTCGGAAGAGATACTGATTGCCTTCAGTAAGATGTTTAGCCAAATGACTCTTTTTCTTTGATGTAGTTGAAAGAGGTGACCACTGGGCACTGGCAACATCTTTCCTCTCAACCACATAGTTTGTCACAACAGAACCGCCATCATCCAGGGGTTCCTTCCAAGTAAGGTAACAAGAATCTTTCCTAATTTCGCTGACTTCCAGATCTCTAGGTGGCCCAGGTTTGTCTGAAAAGTGTTAAATTATAGTTATAAAAGGGATTTAATCCAGACAAGAGAAAAAGGTGTATCAAAATATACTTTTAATGGCATAAGGATTAAAATTCTTACCCAATACAAGTACTTTCACTGAGACAGTTTTGGAACCAGCTGGATTCTCTACTGTTAAGGAATAAATTCCACCATCTTCATGGGCAGCATTACGAATTTCAAGCTTGCTGCCGACTGGAGTAACATCAATTCGTGCTTTAGTCGGAGCCTCTCTGTCTTCCTTTTTCCAGGTGACTTTTGGGAATGGCACTCCTTTGATGATGGCACTCAGTCTTAATGTATCACCAACTTTAATGTGTTGTTCTCTTGCCATGTTGGCATCAAGAATCAACTCAGGGGGTTCTAGAATGAAAAGAACAGCACATTCAAATTTGATGAGTTAACGCATGTTAGAATTATGCATATTCAGCCAGGCACCTATTCTCCTTGCACATGCTGATGAAAACATTTTACTCACCAAGTCTGTCTTTTACCAGCACTGGCTCTGGAACATAAGCTGGATCTGATTCACCAGCTTCATTGACTGCCAACACTCTGAACTTATAGGTCTGACCATCCCGAAGACCAGTGACTTTATATTTAGTTTCAGGACACGACTCAGGAGTATGATTGGCTCTTCGCCACTCTTCATCACCAACTTTTTGGTACTCAACAATGTAACCCAGTATCTTGCTCCCGCCATCATGACGTGGTGGCTGCCAGGTTAGGTCAACTGAGTTACATGTTGTATCTACTGCTTCAGGATTCACTGGTGGACTTGGTTTAGCTACATAAAAATTAAAGAAAGGAAAACCAAAAAGGTGTTAGAACATAGATGGGAAAAATGTTGGATCATAAACAAACTGAAATGAAGCATCAATACTATACCAATTGGATCTCTAGCAAAGACTGGTTTGGATGGTGGGCTTGGATCTCCAATACCAATTTCATTTTCTGCAGAAACCCGGAATTCATACTGACATCCTTCTAGAAGATCAGGAACTCTAAATTTAGTGTATGGGTGGATAGGCTCTTTGGTAACCCTAGCCCATCGTTTAGACATCGTTTCCCTCTTTTCTAGGATGTAGTTGGTGATGGGCTTTCCTCCATCGTGTGGCTTGTTCCAGGTTACTAAAGCAGAGTCTTTGGTGACTTCTGTAACAATGGGCTGATCAGGTGCATCAGGAACTCCTATAACAAATGTTAGCAAAATGTGTTAGAAGTTAATTTTTTTAAACTACATCAAGAATTGACTCCACAGAAAGAAACAATACATACTGAAACGATCTTTGGCTTTCATTGAATCAGACACCAGAGGATCACTTATTCCATACAGGTTTTCAGCATGTATACGGAAAATGTAATCTTTTCCTTCAAGCAGTTTAGGAACTTTGCATGTTGTTTTAGCACTTGCAGAGGTCACAGGCATCCAAACATCTTTACCCAACTCCTTCTTTTCAATAATGTAGTTGGTGATTTCACTTCCTCCATCATCTAAAGGTGGCTTCCAGGAGATGACCATGTAATCTTTGGTTACCTCATCAAAAATGACAGGTCCTACTGGTGGTCCAGGACGATCTGCAGAAAAGAAATCAGAGCACAAAGTGTCCTTTCCACTTCTGCTTTTGAAGGAACAGAAAGTCTATTATCCTTGTCAAACAGTACTTACCAACAACATTAACTTGACAGAAACCTTTCCTGGAGCCTGTACTGTTCTCCACAACGACACAGTATTTGCCAGAATCCGAACGTTTGGACTTGATCTTCTCTAGAGCAAGTGTTGTCGGAGTGATCTTTATATGAGTACGTTCATCTTCTAGCACATCAGCTTCATCTTTGAACCAACTAACCTTAGGCTTTGGTTTGCCTGAGTAGCGGCCAGTGAGGGCAAAAGCTTCACCAACCCTAACCGTGAGCTTATCTCTGAAGTCCAAGTCAAGTGTTGGGGGAGCTAAAAGTTAATAAAAACGAACAAAAAAGTCACTTTTACTGATATCTTTGGCAACTCTATGAATGTTCAATTTTCAAAGTATAAATTGTGGGCGACACATACCCAGTTCATCCTTGCAAGTGATTGGCTTGGTGCAAAATGATGGCTTGCCTTGTCCAACAATATTGACAGCACTGACACGGTATTCATAGGTATCACCCTCTTTTAAGCCTTTAACTGTGTATTTTCTGCTAAGCAAGTTGTCATTTGTAACTTTGTGGAACTTCTCCGTTCCGATGAGCCGGCTTTCTAGGACATAGTTAATGATTTCTGATCCACCATCATATTTAGGAGGATTCCAAGTCAAAGTTACAGTATTTTTAGTAACGTCTTTGACTTCTAGGTCTTCAGGTCGCTCTGGTACAGCTGTAAGTATGAACACAGAGAAAAATGTGTCATATTAAGAATGTAACAGAATGTAGTAAAAACTCCTTTGTAAAGACTGCATTTAAACATTAAGTGATCTGCTTCAATAAATAATAGAAGTGACTCATCATATGACTATGCAAGCTAAAAAGGGCCCAATACAATCTAATTGTCTTAATGAAAATTAGAGTAAGAAAAATTAGGTGAGAAAATAAAGGTTCATTAAAACTAATTTAGGAAAGATCTCCAGAGTCGGTGGTTTTAGGGTTAGGAAAATAATATAGTTTCTAATTAAGCTCCTGAGTGGAATGTTTAAAAAAAAATTAGAGTGTTATACACAGAAAGGATTTGATGAATCATAAATATTCCTATAATTTTTTTCATATAACTAGTAAAATACTATCAAATCATATTCTGAGAAGTTGTCTAATAAGTACTTATTAAATAAATGAAATGTATGGCATTTATATACAAATTTTGTCACCATGGTCTTATTAAATGAGTAAGGTGATGAAACTTGTTTTAAGTTGTACTTACTTATTGGATCTCTGATGACAAGTGCAGTTGGTGTCTCAACAAATGGGCCCATGCCAATAATATTTTCAGCTGCGATTCGGAAAAAGTAGGCTTTTCCTTGAATGAGACCCTGGACAGTAGCATTTTGTCGGGTGACTGTGTATGTCACGGGGGTCCAAGCTCTGCGGTCAGCTTCCCGCTTCTCAATGACATAGTTGGTGATTGGAGAGCCTCCATCATCTTCTGGAGAAAACCATGTCAATTTGCAGGAGTCATTGGTTAGATTGTCAGAGAGGAATGGTATTCCAACAGGACCCGGTACATCTGAAAATAAGAGGAGAAAATTCAAACTGTGTTACTCTCTGCTTTTAAAAAGGAGACAAATATGGTTATGAAGAAATTAAGGTTTTGTGTCTAAGGGAGAATAAAATGCAAAAACCATGAGATGGAGGAAGCAGCAGGAGAGGGGTGAAGAGTGGTATGGTCACTTTGGGTTGTTTCCTCTCCAAGAGGTAAAAAGATAATTTTTTTTCTGGGTGATGAGTCAATCAATGAGCAGCATAGGAGGGGTTGGAATTTTAATGTGGAAGTACACAAATTCTCCAATTAAAGTAACGGCTGTTTAGAAGTAAAAAGGTTTAGGAGCTTGAAACTGAAAAGCTCCCAAGACTACAGCTGAATGAAATGGTTTTATGTAATTTAAATATTAATTATGTTAACACAGGACTGAGTATTTGCAGCATGGCTGTACTTAGAGTCATGTGCTCTAAGTGGGAGGGCTTCACTTTCAAAGCAAATCACTGGACTAAACCAGACAACAAGAGGCATAAAAAGTTCATCTCTATGCTCAGAGACATTTGGTTATATTCATAACCAAATGCGATGCTCCTCAATTAGAATACTGAAACCTTCAGAGGGTTTTTCATTATTAAGATAATTAGCAAATAACCATGTGAAAATAACTATTTTCAAAAGTGAAAATGATCGTCACTGACAGATTTTAAACATTCATGTGTATAAAAGTTGTTTTTAGGGAAATGATATAATAATAGTAGGCATTTATGGTGGTACGTTCTGTAAAAGCAGCATAAAAAATTTATGTGTAGTAGGAATACAACTGTATAGAATATACGTAGGCTAAAAAAGCAAAAAGGAAAAATTTGAAATTCTAATCTGTGGATTATGGGTGATTTTTTTTCTTTTCCAAAATGTTTATAACATAGTTTTATTACAACATAGTTTTGCTGTAGATGTAATAAAAATGCTTGTTGAAAACATTGCATAGACAAAGTGAACTTATTTACCTAATACATCAACAATAATTGTCTTCTTTCTTTCTCCCCCTGCATTTTTGGCAAGAAGAGAATAGACGCCTTGATGGCTCCTCTGGCAGTTCTTGATGACCATGGATGAGCTGATGGCCGTTTCCTCAATGGTGGCTTCTTGAGGTAACGCTCTTTCGTTCATGCTCCAGGTGACAGTTGGAGGCGGCTTCCCAGAGACGTAAGCAATGATTCGGATCACCCCTCCAGCATGGACGACAATTCTGTCTCTGACACTGGCATCTAGCTGGAGGTCAGGTGAAACTGGGAAAGAATTGAAAATTTTCAATGTGATTTCCACTTTCAGTCTGAAATGTAAGTATGGAAGAAATAATAGAAGTGCTGATAATTACCAATTCTGTCTTTCATTTCAATGATATCTGTGACTTCTCCAGGTTCTCCAATGCCAGCAATGTTAACTGCTCTCACTCTAAATTTGTAGAATGCCCCTTCTTTTAATCCTGTCACAACAAGTTTTGTTCCTCTCACTTCTTTATCTTTAGCCTGGGGGAAATGGATAAACATTTTATAGTTAGTTCTTTGCAGCTTGTTGCTTTAATAACTTTCTACCATATAACAAGTAGCCCACTTACTCTCTTTAGGAAAATTGTCAGTTTAGGTTTTAGAGCTCAGCTTTTATATGCAACACTAAATGGAATAATTTGCCAGGAATTATGTTTTAATATTATTATCAAATGGACCTGGGGATGTAGCTCAGTGGTAGTCTCCTTAACCCTAATCTGATTAATTTTTTGACAATAACATATTTGCATCATTAGTTATGAAATTATTTTTCTGATTTCTTTTCTTCCTTTTTTTTAACCTTTATTTTACTTTTTTTTTTTTAATGTGGTGCCAGGGATCAAACCCAGTGCCTCATGAATGCTAGGCAAGCACTCTACCACTGAGCCACAACCCCAGCCCTATTTTTTCTGATTTCTTAAACTAAAAATATAGATAGAAGCTAATGGGATTGAGAGTAACTACTACATTTTTAGTTCATACATAGTACATTTTTTTAAAGCCAAGTTTTAGTTACCTTTTCCCATTCTTCTTTTCCTTCTTCCTTATACTCAACAATATATCCAGTTATTTTGGAGCCACCATCTTTTAATGGGGGAGACCATTCGAGGTCCACAGATGATTTAGTCCAGTCTGTCACTTTGGGAAATGGAGGGCCAGGAGGAGCTGGAACAAACCAGTATAAATTAGTATTCTTGACTTTTCCGTTGCACTTTTGGAAGATAATTAAAAAAAAAAGAGAATGATGGCAAGCCTTACCAATTGGATCTCTAGCAGTCACTGGATCTGATGGCAAACTTGCAGGACCCACACCAGCAGCATTGATTGCATACACTCGGAACTGGTAGTCAGAACCTTCAATAAGATCAGTTACTTTGTAAGAAACACCCAAAGTCATGGCTTTGATAGGGTCTCGGTTCACCCTCTTCCATCTCTTTGAAGTGGTGTCTTTCATTTCTAGCCAGTATCCAGTCACAGGAGAACCTCCATCGTACTCTGGCTCTTCCCAGTTGACAGTCATGGAGTTACGAGTCACACTGCTAACTGTTGGTTTATCTGGTGCCCCAGGGACAGCTGTAGGGAAAACAATACATTAGTCTACAAGAAATTAGAAACAGCATAGATAAGAATAGCTTTGGTGTAAAATGTGAGCCAACTTACAGAAGAGGTTTCGTGCTGTCTCAGGTTCACTGTCAAGTGGTTCTCCAATGCCGTATTTATTCTGGGCCATGATTCGGAATACATATTCATGGCCTTCCAGCAATTTGGGAATTGTGTACATGCACTCTTTAGGTTCGCTGGAAACACGTACCCATGTCTTCCTGTTAGCTTCTCTTTTCTCTATTACATAGTTTGTAATTTTGGACCCACCATCATCTTTAGGTGGAAGCCAAGATAATGTCATTTGATCTGCTGAAATTGATTCAAACTTTATGGGTCCTATTGGAGGGCCAGGACGACCTAAAATGGTTTAAAGAAGGAACATTTTATTAGAGTGATTTTTAAACCCTGAACCTATTTATGGATGTAAAAACATGCAGTTTTAACCAAGTCATGCAATCTTTACCAAGGACATTGAGTCTCATCTCCTTTGATGCTGTTCCCAGGTTATTTACAGCTGTGATGGTGTATAAGCCAGTGTCACTCCTGCGAGACTGTGGAATAACTAAAGTGCAGGTGTCGTCCACCACCAGTTTGTTGACGTGGGTGTCATAGAGAACAGGTTCTTTGTTATCAGGCTTCTTTGGAGGAGCTTTAAACCAGGTGAGGGTTGGGAATGGCACTCCTTTGATTTTGGCCACTATGTTAACATCAGTTCCTTCTTCAACCTCCATGAATTCTTTGAGCTCAATTGATGGTGGGCCTAGATTATTAAAAATTAAATAAGTTATCATTAGGAGTAAAAAGCGCTGAAGGACAGAAAGTTCAATTTACAAGGATGATAAAGGTGTTTGTATCTACTATAGGCAGACTTTATATCCCAGGCCCATATAAGAGTGGGTCTGTTTTTAAAACTGTTGTACTTGTTTGAGGAACAGGTACATGTAGTTTATTGGATCTACATGTGGCTAGATTTCTCAGCTATTGCCTCTCTCTTTTCTGGCATAATTATGCATGAGCATATACTGATAAAAGGGCAGAAGGGAGTGAAGCGTTATAGCTTAGGCTTGGGAGCCCTGTCGCCATGATTTCTTTAATATTCATGCAGAGTTACAAAGGGATTCACAACGTTTACTCTGAGGTGACTTCCCCTCATAAGAAATGCAACTGCTGGTAGAGGCAAAGGAATTTTCTATTTTCCACAGATTTAGTATAAGAGTATGAAAGAGGGTAGTAACTATAGCCTTCAGCTTTGAAAAGAGAATTGAGCAAATTTGCAAAGCAGTAGTGATGGTAACAATAATCAGAGAGCGCAACATTACCATATTTGTATGTATATTTTATCTTTTTAAACAGATACTTATTTTTCTCAAGTGGAGGAAAAGAAATTTGGTTGTGAAAAGAAATGCATTGCAGCAGTTGTCAAGCAAATGACTGGTTGCTTTCTGACCCTTCTGAGGAGCAGGCAGAGGAACTGCCTTAACTTCTGACAAAGAAAACAGCTTTCCATGGAGAAAATTACAGTAAGAAAATTACAAACATCATCTCCTTTCATGTAAGGAGAATGTAACTCGGTTGAGGTCAAGGGATGGGTAATTGAGGAATTTGCCCATGTCAGCACTCAGGCCAGAAGAACTTCCTAATATTCTCATATCCCGTTCTTACTAATTTGGGGTAGTATTAAATACCTAGGAAGGCAGCTATAAAGAGAGAATTTTCTGTCAGTGTGTTGGTACTTACATGTCTGGTCTTTGACAGTCACGGGGCCAACAGTGGCGGAAGGTTTGCTGACTCCTGCAGCATTGACAGCTTTGACCCTGAATTCATATTCCCCACCCTCTATGAGGTCTTCAACGGTAAATTCCAATTCTTCCACATCACGCTTATTGCACTGCCTCCATGCTTCCTTCTTTTTCCCAGTAGGGTCCCATGCAAGGCACTCAACGATATAGTGGGTGACAGGGGAGCCCCCATCATTCTTTGGAGGTTTCCATGAGAGATGGACTGTGTTCTTTGTTATTAGGCCAATTTTGAGTTTAATAGGAGGATCAGGAGGAACTGTAAAAATAGTTAAGGAGACATTAAGCAATGGTTACACCAATACAGTTCAATTTTGATAAGATATTTTAGACTTGGATTTAAAACTCACAGATTGGATCTCTGGCAGTGGTCCTCTGAATGGTTTCCACAGGTGGGCCAATACCAAAACGGTTTTCTGCTCGCACACGGAAGAAATATTGCTGTTCAGAAATGAGGTCAGGCACTACAAATGAGGTGCTTCCGCAGTTTGGATTGACTTTAGTCCAAGCCTTTCCATCAATAGTCTTCTTCTCAATGACATAGCCTTTGATTCTGTCTCCCCCATCATCGTCTGGCATCTTCCATGAAAGTCTGCAACTACTCCTTGTGATGTCACTGACTTTCAAATCTTTGGGTGGACCTGGTACATCTGTTGGAGGCAAATCATAATGTAGATAGCGTTCCTTGGATGTTTAAAACTAATTTGTTCCTATTCCATAGCAACTTTTAAAGTCTTTCTTACCCATGACTTTGACTCTGCAATTTGCAGTCTTCTGTCCTGCTTTGTTCTTGGCTGTGATGCTGTATTTGCCTGAATGCGAACGTTTACAATCTGGGATGATGATTACTGATGAGTTTTCAGCAGTCTCCAACTGTACAAAGGAAACAGTGTTCATATATTGAATGAAGTAACAGTAGTACAGAAGTCAACCATATTGTGAGTTATTTCAATTATTATTATTATTTTTTACCTGTGCATCTTCAGGTATATCATGAACTCCATCCTATTAGAAAAGAAGACAGTTGTAGTATAAATATTCCTTCCAGGGATTCAGTGGGACACTCAGGAAAATTTTAATTTTCTTACCTTCATGGCCTTCTTTGCCTTTCCATCAAACTCCCAAGATGATTTTGGTGTTGGGCGCCCTTTGATGACAGCAGGGATTCTAATCTGTGAGCCAGCCTGACAAACCAGGCAGTCTTGTGCTCCAATGTCAATGAAAACCTCTGGTACCTCTGTAAGCCATAATATAATAGGATTTAGCTGACATTATAAAAAAGTGACTGACCTATCTTTAGGAGATTAATCAATTTCATAATAAGACTTAAGAGATGCATACACTGAATAAGGACCAGTACCTTGAATATCAGTGGCAGGTATCTCTCCAGTTGTGTCACTTGGTTCAGATTCACCAGCTTCATTGACAGCTTTCACTCTGAACCTGTACTTCCTGAGTTCTTTCAGGTTGGGTACCACACATTCACAGGTAGTAAGAAGTTTGTCTGGTTCATTGACTCTCTTCCAGTCAGTAGTACCTTCTTCTTGCATTTCTACAATGTATCCTTTGATTGGACTACCACCGTCTTTGGCTGGAGGTTTCCATGCCAGTGAGATGCTTGACTTTGTTTTATCTTTAACCTCTGGGCAAGAAGGTGGCCCAGGTGGGTCTAATAAGAAATCAAAACAAACCAAAAAGTGCATCAAATTTTGAAGGTAATGTAATGCTAGATTTTTATACTGTAAGAATCCTTTGTTACTACATAAGATTAAATATTATTTTTAATCTATTAAAATAGGAATGTTAAAAGGGAATAAGAATCTACTTGAAACAATCTACTTGTCTTTAGCATTAATGCAAAGACACAGAAATCAAACAACTGGAAAAGAAAGACTACTTATGATATCTAGATACTCTACAGTCTGTTTACACATGATTAGTGAAAAGCTAGTGTACTTTTGTGATTCCCTTGATGAGGTTCTACCGTATTTTTCACTGAAAACACATTTGTTTACCACAGCATGAAAAATTTTAAATAATTTCATCACTAGCTGGTATATCTTTGAACATAAGCTAATCTTAATGCTCTTTAGAAGGATCAATCTCTGCAATAATCACATAACCACCCTTTATATTTCTGAAGTGTTTTACAATTACAGAAATTATTTTACTCTATTTGTCTTTTTAATTATAACTCTTCTCCCTCTAGTGAAGAGATCCTATGTTCAGTAAACACTAGTTTGCTGAATGAATAAATGAATACCTATTGTACCATATTATATATATTCTCCATATAGCAGTTAAGAGTATTTTAAAATAACAGTTGATTTTTTTCCTACCAAATATCCAATCAGATACACAGCAAACTGAATTAACTGTCAAGGACACAGAATTTTGATTTTTGAATGAATCTTATCATAGATGTTTCAGAATTTTCCTCTTTTATTTGCTCTCACAGAATGTGCCTAAAAATTTGATATCTTTGCTTGATAAATATTATTGAAAAGCTAACGACATTTTTCTTTTTGTTGAATTCCTACAGAAGAATGTCTTTAGTGGGAGAAATGACTTCAGTAGTCTAATGAGAAAGAAGTTTATTTAAAGTATGAGAGCAGAGAGGAGCTTATAGTCAGTCCATCCAGGTTTTTATAATTCTGATTCCTTATAAAATATGAGGTTTAATCCAAAAGTTAAAAACTGTATGATTTTATGTGTATATAGTGATATATCTATATATCTATATCTCTCTCTCTATATATATACTTATGACTGTCTATGTAAACATGAATAATAGTTTGACATAGAAAATTAAAAAGAGAAGAATGATGTATTTAGTTACTTTTCCCTTTAGAAATGATTTTTAGCAAGGAAGCATACTTACATATGGGATCTCCAGCAAGAGCTGGATCTGATGGTTCACTGGGAGGGCCAATTCCTGCAGCATTTATTGCCATGGCTCTGAACTGGTATTTAACACCTTCAATCAAACGGGGAACATTAAATTCTATACCCTTCAATCCCACTTTTGTTATTGGTGCTCGGCTAACACGTGACCAGTAGGCGCCTCCTTCCTCTCTCTTCTCCAGCCAGTAGCCAGTAATTGGAGAGCCACCATTGTCCAAAGGAGGTGTCCAGCTCACTAACATTGACCCTTTGGTGCGCTCCAAGACCTTTGGTTTTCCTGGAGGCCCAGGAAGGCGATAAGGATCTTGAATGACCACTTTATCGGATTTGCACTCATCACTGGTTCCATATTTATTCACTGCTCTAACTCGGAACTCATACTGTCCATTGGGGATAAGTTTCCAGACCTAAAATGAGACAAGTAGAAATGTCTTAAAAAGAATAGGCTTCCACTGATTTTCACTCTTCTCAAAATTGAACTTACTTTGGGAGGTATTACTATAATGGGAAATAAATATATAGACTTAAATCATGGAAGAAGATAGAGAAAAGGAAAACCCATCTAAAATAAGAATATATAAATTTATTTTACCTCAGCAGATCTTTCAAGTAAAAGAGTATCTGCATATCAAATGGTATTTGCTAAGTAGCCTTATGTGCAAGGTGCTAAACACTATAATGAAATAGCTTCTTGTGCGAGATTTTGAGTTTAACCATTAGATTTCAAGGTTTTATGAAAATGGTGTTAAATCAAAGTCATGTGCTTTTAAGTATGTGAGAAAATACTCAGAAACATTTACCCCATATCTTCTCTCTACAGCAGTATTAGTGACTTCTTCCCATTCACTCTTTTTCCTACTTGCATCACGTTTGTCAATAACATAATGGGTGATTTCACTGCCACCATTATCTAGAGGGGCATCCCATGTCAAGTAGCAAGATTCAGCTTTAATATCAGTAACAGCAAGATTTCTTGGTGGGGATGGGCGGTCTGGAAGGAAAAGGACCGAGGAGCTTGAGAAGGCAATTCTTCAACTAACAATGGATTTTTTTATATACACAAGAAAGCAAGTCACTTACCATAAACTTCAACGTGAACATTTCGGAACACTGAGCCGAGGCGATTAGAAGCAGTAATGGTATAAGTGCCCTTGTCCTCCCGGACGGCTTTGGGAATGATCAGCTCGGTCTTTGCCTCACTGCGGGACACTTCTTCCTTGGTTATTTGAAGTGCATCAGTGGGTTTTTCAATTACTGTTTCGTTCTTGGACCACTCGATCTTAGGCATTGGAAGACCCGTCACATCTGCAGGGATGTTAACAGGCTCCCCTGCCTTAACTTTGATAGTGTCTCCTCGAACGGCCAGACGTAATTTAATATTTGGAGGCACTACAAAGAGAAGGGAGAGAAAGGGAAAAGCAGAAAACTCATAAGGATGTTTTCTCAACTTACAGGAGAAGGGCAGAACTGTAATGTGCATTAAAATTATTAGGTTCAGAATCCACACCTTCATCATCTTGTATGACTACATTAAGAGGCAGGGATGGTTCACTTTCACCAATTGCATTGACGGCTTTGACACGGAACTCATACATTTGGTGTTCATCGAGATTTTCAACCAGGAAAGATGTGGTTGGGCAGAGGCGTTTGTTAACTCTTTCAAAGTCAGGTTTGTCATGACGCCGTTTTTCAATGATATATCCTTGGATGGGACTGCCACCATTACTGCGGGGTTCTTTCCAGTCAAGGGTGATAGTGGACTTGGTCCTTTCTGTGTATGTCAGCCTTTCAGGAGATGTCGGAGGACCTTTAATCAGAAGCAAATTAAATGATGAGCATGAGAGAAATATTAATATAGGAATTAATATTTCACATTATTCATGTGAAAATAGGTTTCTGTTTGGCATTATCTTATATCCATTTTTAAAATCCTCCTCAAAATGTGTCAGCTACCAAAATATAGCCATTCTTGCAGAATTTGTTTTTAGCAAACTTTCTATTGAGTATTAATTAAAAATAAATCAAGGTGAACATATGCTTTTTTATATTTAGTGTTTTAGATTGTTTACCTCCTGTCACTGGGAAAGCTTCTAATCTTAATGACCTAGTAAAATAGGTTTGTGGTTTTGCTTTGGATGGCCAGCTGAGAGCAAAGTGTTTCTTAGCAGATTCTGAGATAAAGCTACTAAACATTCTGCAAATCATATTGCCTCAAGTGTAGGTTTAAATACAGTGGAGACTGTGTATAATCCTTCTATGGTTTTGTGTCCTGAAGGACAGAACCAAGAGTAAGTTCTGAAAGGTGAAACTAGACCCAATCCGTGCTTACTGAAGTTATTGTAACTAGAAGCAGTGGAATCCCAGTACTGTTCTAATGCCTCTGGCACAATTTAATGTACTTTTTGAGATGAGCTTTAACAGTGGTGTAGGATATAATTTATATTTTTCCAGGGGATGGTGGCAGAGGAATAACTACTTTTGTCTCTTGAGGAATAGGTCTTTGTCAAAGGCATTGCTTTCTTAAAATGAGGGTCAGTGTGCATTATCAATATGTACAATTGTAAGATTTCATGTTGTCTCTGGAAGATTTCCTCTGATTATTTTTCCTTTCCTTTGGTGGTTCTTTCTGGTTTGTGGCCTCCCTAGCAATCCAATTTGGGGACTTTTTGATGATAGGGCAAGGTTAAGGCATTTATCATAAGGCATTTTACCTTCTGGAAAAAAACCTCTATTAAACTACTAGATTATTAGAAAAAAACAAAACTCCAGTGTATTCCATTGGAAAGATTCAATACTTCTAAATTATTACTAGGTTATTACTAAGTCTCAGTAGATCAAAAGTTTTCAGCACACAAATCTATGGATGATAAATATACTTGGAACCAAAGTTACTTTGGAATTATACCAAATATGGTGTCTTTAAGTTGCTTGTAGTTATTTGATTTACTCTCTAGCTATTCGTTTTGATTACTCTCTATTTATAGATCTTGAGACTGTTGGGAGTTTGAAACCATAAAGCTCAATGAATAAATGATATAACTAGAAGCAAAGCAGTATGTATTTTATACACAGTGAAAAACTTGTTTTACCTAGTGGATCAACTGCAAGAATTGGTCCTATTTCAACAGGAGGGCCACAGCCAAACTTGTTCTTGGCAATAACACGGAACATATATTCTTGTCCCTCGAGGAGACCTGTGATGTCACATTTAGATCTCTCAGTCTCTATTGGTTGTCTCCAAGTATGCATTTTAGCATCCTTTCTTTCAATAATAAAGCCTGTGATTTCACTTCCTCCATCATCTGCTGGGTCAGACCAGTTTAGCAGACACATCTTTCTGTTTGTTACAACAGGTTTTAAGTCAAGAACTGGACCAGGGACATCTGAAAAATAAAGTAGCAAAATTAATGTAATAAGTCACTACCACTTGGGAGAATCCTATGAAAATCCATGCAGAATTCCTTACCAAAAACTTCCACCCGAGCTGCTGCAAATTTGGAGCCACTGTTATTAGTAGCTGTAATTATGTATCTGCCATGATCTTTTCTCAATGCGTTCTTGATAATTAGCTCAGATTTGGTTCCAACGTTCTCTATTACAACACGGTCTTTGTCCAGCTCTCCTTCTTCTATGGTCCATACTTTTGTAGGCACTGGGCGGCCAGTCACCACAGCTGGAATTCTAAGAGTCTTCCCTGCCATGATTTGTATTCCACCCTTGACAGAAACATCCAATTCCACATTTGGAGGTTCTGTTGAAAGAGAACAGTCATACATTAGTCCAAGAAAGATGAAAAAAAAAAATAGCCCCATCTTTAGAAAATATCCATCATTTTATTCAAATAAAACTTTTAAGTACCTTTTGGTTCAGCCACTGTAACAGGTCCTGTTTCTCCAGGTGGTCCTTCACCTGCAGCATTGACAGCACTCACGCGAAGTTTGTAATCAGCACCCTCTCGGATTTCTTTGACAGTGTATTGACGGACTTTGATCATCTTCTCTGTGCAGCGTGACCATTCATTTGTGCCAACCAACTGCTTATCGACGAAGTAGCCAATAATTTCCCCACCACCATTGAAAGCTGGGGGTTCCCATTCCAATTCAATAGTTGTAGAGCTTGTGTCAGCAACTCTTGGAACAGGCGGTCCAGGTGGAGCTAGAATGAATGCAGGTACACACATCAAACCCACTGATGGTTTTTAAATGTACAGTGGCTTACTATCCCTAACTTTCTTCTTGGGGAATTACTTACAGATTGGATCATGTGCTGTTTTGGGATCGGAAGGTGGACTGAACTTGCCAGGTCCAGCTGCATTTTCTGCACATACTCTGAAGACATAGGTGAGTCCTTCTAATAAGCCATCTACCTTGGTTTTCAAAGAACTCAGAAGGTTTTTGTTGACACGAGACCAATGTGTACTGTTAACTTCACGTTTTTCAAGCCAGTAACCCAAGATGGGGCTTCCATTATCTTTTGGTTCATTCCATTTCACTAACATACTGTTGCTGGTAACATCTTCCACAATGGGTTTGTCAGGTGCATCAGGTGGTTCTGAGAAAACAAAAAGTAAAATTCCCAAATGTGACACAAAATTCGAACTTTATAAACTGTGATTTTATATATATATATAACAAAGTATATGACAAAAAAAAACTTTCAATGCTAAAGGAACCTTACCAAATGGATCTTTAGCTATAAGTGGCTTTGAAACACATGGTGGTCCAGGTCCAAACCTATTTTCAGCTCTTACACGGAAGAGGTACTCTTTTCCTTCAATGAGTTTTGTTACTGCATATTTGCAGTGTCTAAGTGTTGAGGTGATGACAATCCATTCTGAGTCAGGTTTTGTCTTGTCTTTCTTTTCCAAAGTGTAGTTTATGATTTCACTGCCACCGTCATCAAGGGGTGGTTCCCATTTACAGAGGACTGAGTTCTTTCTAATATCTTCAAATACAAAGTTGATTGGTGGTCCTGGTGTATCTAATATTTCAAAAGAAAACAGTAATTAAAAATTTGCATAGAAATGGTTTGCTATGGAACATGTAAATGTTAGTATGATTCTTTGACATAAATCTGATTTTCCCACATCTGACTCTCTTTATATCACATTAGATAATGAATGATGAGATTAGTTGATTTTTTTTAATATGGTATGAAAAAATATGACTGAGGATTATTTGCTGAACCTATTTCCCACTTCTTCTAACTGCCCACTCCCAACTAATTTTTATGTTATGTGTAAGCTTTTCCCATCTGAAAGTATAGGTTTAACCATTTACCTAACACACTGACAGTGCACGGAGCTTTCGCAATACCATGGTCATTTTCAACTTTGATCATATACAGGCCATGATCAGGTCGGAGAGAATCTCGGACGCGGAGCTGAGATTCTCCTTGCTTGCTATTGTTGATGCTCAAACGCTCTGTCAGAGACAGGACAAATGGTTCTTCTTCTTGAACTTCACCCTTCTTCTTCCTAACCAGGGAGGTCGGTCGCTTCTTAATTTCCTCTGGTATAATGACATTTTCATCCTTTATCCATGTAATAGTTGGGTATGGTGAGCCAGAAATGGTTGCATCAAGAGCTATTTCATCACCTCGTTTCACTTCTAGACTTGTTCTCATAATCACTTTTGGAGCATCTGTAATGATTAAAAATAATTATTTTCAATTCTGATTAAAATATCTGACAAAACATTATTCTCATTTATTTCATAACAGGAAAGTAGCAACTCCATTAGACAAAACTTACCGATAGGATCTATGGCTTTGGTGGGAGGAGTAGCCCGAGAAGGTTCACCAATACCGGCAGCATTCTCTGCGCGTACACGGAATTGGTACTCCTTTCCCTCTTCAAGTCCTTTTGCTGTGTAGGTCAGGACTGGTACCAGGTGTTCATTGCATCTCTTCCACTTGTCTTCTCCCTTAGCAATCTTCTCTATGATGTAACCCATTATCTTGCTTCCTCCATCATACAAAGGTGGCTTCCACGTAATAGTCATTGCCTTAGCTGTAGGATTATGAACCTCAACATCTACAGGTGGATCAGGAGGTTCTGTAGAACAAGAAAAAAAATATTAACTTTGGGAAAACCACCTTCTTCTTTTTTTGTGGTGCTAGGGATCGTACCCAGGGCCTTACGCATGCAAGGCAAACACTCGACCAACTGAGCTATGTTCCTGGCCAACCCACCTTCTTAAAACAAAAAGAAAACTTGCATATGAATTACTAGTCATTGTATATCCATGTTTAAACTTACGCTTTGGATCTTGAGCAATGACTGGATTTTTCAGTTCAATATATTCGCCTCCACCAATCTTGTTGACTGCTTTAACACGGAAGAAGTATTCACCATTTGGTATGAGATCCTTTACAGTCCAAGATAGTTTGTTCTCACCAGACATGACTGGTATATATGTCCTCCTCCCAGCTTCTCTGCGTTCCAGGACATAATGAAGAATTGGGCTTCCACCATCATATTCTGGAGGCTCCCAGGTTAACTTGCAAGAACTCTTGGTCACATCACTTGCTTTAATATCTTTGCATGGACCAGGTAGGCCTGTTACAATTGTAATTGATAATTATTATTGTAATCCTGAAAAATCAGAATTTTCATAGTGTACTTTCTCTAGGTGGAGCTATTGTGTTGGATAATCTTTCATGTGCTAGAGTGTCCTTCATATTGGAGGACATTAGCATCCTTGGCCCTCTACTACTAAATGTCAGTAGCAGCTCCTAGTCTTTGTGCAGAGCAAAAATGGCCCTATAAATTTCCAAACATTATCAGGGGTGGGATAAAGGACAGAAAATGTTACTACCCCTTAAAGAGAATACTATGGAAAAATGTGAATTTATACAACAAGAAATAAATATATTGATCATTTAAACATTCTTTGGGTATGCTATATCTCTAAATCATTATTTCACATGCAAATAATTAAAACAAGAATAAATTAGCCTAATAAGAGTTTAGCAATTTTATCTGTTAAGAATTGCTTTACTTCTTACATGGAAATAAATAATCTGAGGGGATGTTTAGTCTACAAATTGGCCAGTTCATGAAGCCATTTATACTAATACTGCAAACTTAACTAATTTCCCCAACATGTGAAGAAAATATAGTGTTTATTTCATTAAAGAATGATTACCTATGACTTTGACATTGATTGAGGCAGTTGCTGAGCCAAGCTTATTCTCCAGTGTAATGGTGTAAACTCCAGCGTCTGCATGGACACTCTTGGGAACTTCAAGGTGTGCAGAGATGTGATCATTCTTCATTGTTAATCGATCACTAGCTTTAACTTCTTTGCCATCTTTATGCCAGCTAACAGTTGGAACTGGGACAGCTCTGAAGGGAACAGGAATGCTTAACTTTTCACCTTCAATGACCACAATGTCATGAGTCTCCAGATCAATCGTTGGCTTGCCTATAAGATATAATCCGAAAGAAGGGGTAAAATGTCTGTCAAAATGCAATGCAATGAATAAAGACTAACTTATTAACTGTAAAAGACAGTGTTCTTACAGTCTGGGTCTTTGGCAACCACATTTTCGGAGATTTCAGAAGGTTCACTGACACCAACAGCATTGACGGCTCTCACTCTTAAAACATACTCTTTGTCAGGAACAATACCCTCTTCAACCTTGAATTTCAGGTCTTTTATTGGGCGAGAGTTAACTCGCATCCATTTCTCAGTGCCTACTGGACACATTTCAACATGGTATCCTATAATAGGACTTCCGCCATTTTTCTCTGGAGGCTTCCAAGCAATGTCAATGTGCTTTCTCCCAGCATCAGTCACATGTAGGTCAAGGGGAGGTGAGGGAGGACCTGAGAAAAGAGTGAAACAATTACGTAAACAGTCTCATCATCAAGTTTTAGACAATATCCTTTGTATGATCAACACTACTTACTTGTTGGATCTTCAATTGACAGGATTTCTGTGGGTTCACTTGGGTGACCAACTCCAGCTTCATTTTCTGCCCGAACCTGAAACTGGACCTCTGTTCCTTCAATGACATCAGTTACTCTGAAGTTACAGTCAGGTCCTGAGGTCTTTCCAGCTTTCACCCAACGAGTGCCTAACTTTTCTTTCTTCTCAATGATATATCTATTGAAATAAGAAAGCATTTCATTAGCATTAATAATAAAAAAGAAAATGTTAAGAATTTGTAGTCAAGCTGGGTATGGTAGAGGCTGAGGCAGAAGATTGCAAACTTGAGGACAGCCTGGGCAATTTAGTGAAACTATCTCAAAAATCAGACACTAGTATGGCAGTATGTATAAACATGGCTATATAACCAATGTGATCCTGCACGTGGAAAAATTTGTACATGTGGAAAAATAAGAATTCATACCCCATTTGAATCAAATGTATGATATATGATATGTCAAGATCATTGTAATGTTTTGAGCAACTAATAAAAAAAGGGATAGGGATGTACCTCAGCTGTAGATACACTTGGGTTTAATTCCCAAGTTTCACACACAAAAAAATTTAAACCAAAAGTAAGTTATCTTTTATAAATTAATTCAAGTTCTACCTCTGTATTGGTCTTCCACCATCATTTTTAGGTGGCTCCCACTTTAGGTCAACATGTCGTTTTGTCACGTCAACCACTGTCAGGGCATATGGTGGTCCAGGAGTAGCTGAAAGCAAAATAATAATTACTGATTAGAAAAGCCAGAGGGAAAAGTAATAATCTAGTATAAATGTTGCAAAGATTCAGTTGGAAAGCATACTGAAGGTGTCTTTGGCCAGGACAGAATCCTCAATTTCAGTGTAGTCACTTTGTCCTACGGCATTTTCTGCAGCAACTCGGAACACGTATAAAGAACCCTCAGTCAGTGGGGTTACTGTGCACTTGGTGTCCTTGACAGTGGTGTCCACTGTTTGCCAGCCTTTTCGCCTGACATCCCTCTTTTCCACGATGTAGTTGGTGATGGGCGACCCTCCATCTTTCTCAGGAACTGTCCATTTTAGGTCTGCTGTATTTTTTGTGATATTAATCACTTCAAGCCAACGAGGTGGTGATGGAGGATCTGGACCAGAGAGAGAAAAATTCAGTTTTTTGTATTGTCCAGTATCTAGTCTTCACTGAATATTTTGGTAGTCACTCAGAAATAATATAGCAAAAAGAAAATGAGTTTTTTTCTATTTTCTCATATTGTAGTTTTCAGACACATGTTGGAAGAATTTATACACCCCAGACATCAGGAGGGACTTACAGAGTTTCTCCCGGCAAAGCACAGGGTCACTGGGTTCACTGGGTTCACTTTCCCCAGCCTTGTTGACAGCTCTAACTCGGAACGAGTATTCCTGCCCTTCCATGAGCCCCTTGAGGAAGTGCTCAGTGGTCGGAACTCCTTCGGCCACTCTGACCCAGTCTTCCGTTCCAGTTTTCAGCATTTCAATGACGTAAGACTCAATCTTTGCCCCTCCATCGTGTTCTGGCTTTGTCCAGTTCAAGAATAATGATGTTTTGCCTACATCTTTCACAGTTGGTTTTCCAGGGGGCCATGGAGGATCTGCAAACAATGAAGACAAATATTTAGGTTTGTAAAAAAGAAGTGACTGTAAGCTTCAAAATAATCATGGAAAATTATAAAAATAATACCTATGGGATCTTTTATTAAGATTGGTTCAGTTGATCTGCTTGGCTTTCCAGGTCCAGCCAGATTTTCAGCCAACACACGGAATCTGTATTTTTTCTTATTGGTGAGACCTTTCACTCTGAATTAGGAAAAAGAGCATATGCAATAATATGGTAAGAAGCAGCCAATTGTGTTTTACATAGAAGGAGCAAATTTGTTTAAATTGTGAGAAACTAATTTGGAAACTTAACTAAAAATATTTTAATATAAATTTAAATTGTTCTTTAACAGTCAAGCAATTTAGATTTGGATAAATGTATCAATCTGATTGTTATCTATACTAATGATCATTATAATATAGTGGAGGACACTTTGAAACTTCCAGAAAGCTACTATTTTATAGTTAATTGAGAAGTGTGTTCTTGAATGGAACTTATATAATTTCTGAAATTATATGAAAATAGAAAATAAAAATAATTAAAATTTAATAGTAATCTTATATCATGTATGATCACAGGAAATACTAAAAAGCGCAATATATCCAAATTTTTGCTTTTAACACTTGATAGAAGTTCTGGGCATACCTGTATGTTGTATCCTTTATTGGCATCTTATTGCATCTAACCCATTTATCAGTATCAGGATCTAATCTTTCAACCCAGTATCCAGTGATAGGGCTGCCACCATCATCATCTGGCTCACACCATGTGAGGGTCACTGCATCTTTAGTGATGTCTGAGGGTTCTAGGCGAGTTGGTGGTCCAGGTGGATCTATAGACAGGATAATGATATAAAAAGTTATATGTCCTATATATCAATATGACACCCAAATACAAGTTTGACACAAGCATCCTTTTCCTTAACTGACTGAGAAACTTACCAAATGGATATTTGGCTATTATTGGGGTGGCCTGAACTGGCTCACCAACACCATACATGTTTTCTGCAGCAACTCTGAAGATATACTCTTTATTGGGTATTAATTTAGTTGCCTGAAATTTTGTGTCCTTAACAGTTGATGAGAGCTTATGCCACACTTCACTATCTGTTGCTCTTCTTTCCACAACATAGTTTGTGACCTTAGATCCACCATCATCTCGTGGTGGGTTCCATGTTAGAAGACATGACTCACTAGTTACATCTGTGATATCAAATGCAGCCGGTGGCCCAGGCTTATCTGTGGATGGAATTGTACAGAAAAAAAAATGTAATTACATTTTATTCGAGAAGGTAGCTGAAAGAGTTGGTCTCCTTTTAAAACAAGAACCTCCCTTACCTAAGACATTCACTTCCACCACAGCAGTGGCCCGGCCGCAGACGTTCACAGCCTCTATGATGTATGTGCCAGTGTCGCTTCTCTTACTGTCCATGATAGTCACTGTGGACTTCTTAGGAACATTTTCAATGGTGATTCTTTTGTCCTGCTTTAGGAGCATATCAGCCTTAGTCCAAGTTATTTGAGGTTCAGGTTTTCCAGTTACGGTGGCAGGAAGTTCAATCTTTGTTCCAGCTTTTACAGTAATGCCAGCAAGGAGCTTCACATCAAGGAAAATTTCTGGGGCCTCTGAATGGAAAAGATTGTTTATGCTATTAGCAAGTTCAAGTTCAAGTTAGAGCCCTGACTGATAAGATAAAAATAAAAAATAAATACCCTGTGTGTCCACAGCCTGGATTTCATCTGTGGGTTTGCTCGGCTTGCTAGCACCTTGCCTGTTCAAAGCCTTTACACGATAGGAGTACCATTTGCCTTCCTCAAGACCTGTCACTTCCATTCTGTCAGAAAGCAAAATAGGATATTTTACTGTCCTA